AAATGTACCCACAACAAAAGAAACGTTTCTGTAGCAGGGTTTAGGGTTGGCAGGGGCTGAAAGCCTTTGAGGACCGGTAAGAATCCAGCCCAGTTCAGCCTTGGGCATCCGAATCCCAAAGTAGTGAACAGAATTAGACTTAGAGCGGCTCTTTCCTTCTATAGCTGGAAAGTGGAGTAGGCCATTCGGCCCAAATCAACCTAAGGCCAGACTTGGGCGAGCCGACTCATAACTGGTCTACTAGTCCTTCAAGGACTGGGCTAAAACCCAGTCTAGTTAGATGCCCGGCAGGTCTTATCCGAGCTATGCACCTGCCACATGGTAATAGGTAAAAAGTCATCAACTTCTCTCTCCCTTCGTGTTTTCATTTTCTATTTTAGTAGTATTTTTTTATCAAATATAATTTCAGTTTTAAGTTCAACAATTGGCTTATTTCCATTAAGAAAATAAAAAAGTTAAAAAAGGGGACTAACCAAAAATAACTGGAAAGAACCCAAGTTGGGGGATTTGCGTTTACTACTTGGCTTCTAAGTTGCAGCAATAAATCGGACCGAGAAGAGAAACATGTTGAAAAGGCGGTCAGTTGTGATACCCACTCTTGGATTGCCACGTAGCATACGTACGAACGAAGCATAAGATATGAAAAAAACAACAACAACAACATAAGGAAACACCGAACAGCCAAACTCAAAAACAACTACAAACTCGGAAACTAGGACAGCGTTTCCTTCCAGGTTTCGAACATACAATTTTCTTTCCTCAATTTCTTCGAAATTTGATTGATATTTTCAAAACACCTCGGGAGATTATCGGTAGTATTATACTTTGTTTTGTCTTTTGTTGTAATTAAGGGTGTGGAGGGTTTGGGCATGAGAGTGCCGAACGTTGATCTTTTCGATCCGCGAACGATTATGGACTCGGACTTCTCACCGGGCGAAACATCTGGGCCGGGTTCTGTAGACTCGGACTTCGGGTTTGCTTTCAACGACAGTAATTTCTCCGATCGGGTATTGAGGATCGAGATCATGCCTGATTTGCCCGAGACTAAAGCCGGCGGTGACGGTTGCTCCTCCATAGCTGATTGGGCCCGTAATAGAAAGAGGCGGAGGGAAGATATCAAGAAAGAAAATGGTCTGTTTTTCTACTAAATCACTTGGAATTGCTTGTTAATTCTAGCAATGTAATAATTTTAGTTCGACGATTTTGCCCTTCAGGTGCAGATGTTATTGGACAACGTGAGGAGCAAACTTTAAATTGTAACATGCCAGACACGGAGGATGGTGTGACATATGAAAATCAAGATGAAGAGGTTGTGGCAATGATTGAAGAGTCCCCTACCGATGTTGGATTGACTTCCAATCAAATTGGTACTTACATGAGATGAAATGCTTGCCTTTTTTTTTTTTTAATACATACACACTAATTAACGCACTCGTTTGACTTAATCTTTATGCTAACTTAAACTTCTTGGGTTCCTTCATTTTGTCGTTTTTTGTACCTTTTGCTAGTTGCCTTTTGTTATTTATGTTTTTGCTAAAAGAACAAAAACGAAAGAGTAAAAACAAAGTCATATTTGATAGAAATGAGCGAGTGGGTAGAAGTAAAATTATGGATTTTGTTATTCGCGAAGTTGTACATTTTTAATTCTCTGTGAGTTTTTGTATTTGAAAGCAAAAAGCTAGTAGGAAATGTAGCAATTAGATAAGGCCTATAAGCTTTGGCGAAAATGGTCACTTGCTCACTTAAAGCTTTTTTTATTTTAATGATAAAACCTGTATGTAGAGTTGTTTTGTGATTTCAATATTAGTTATTGTTTAATTGCAAGGAATGAACCTTGATACCTGTTTGATTCTTTTGTAGGGAATGATGCCACTCCTAGCAATGATTCTTCTTGGAACATGGATTGTTCATCAGTTCTTAGAGTCAAGACCATACATATTAGTTCTCCAATTTTAGCAGCAAAAAGTCCATTTTTTTATAAGGTGAGGAGATGCCGGTTGGTTGTTTTGTGTTTTTTAATTGGATGTCCTGATTGACTTATCAGTTTGTGCCTTTTCTTGCAGTTGTTTTCTAATGGAATGAGGGAGTCAGAGCAGCGACATGTAACACTCCGGATACATGCCTCTGGTAAGTGCTGGAATACGTTTCCTGTTATTGATCATTTCTGTCTTCTTTTACCCCATATTGATATGAAATGCCATGATCTCAGTCTGTTTTACGTGGGAACTGGTTAAATTTTGTGGGTTCATTTCCACATATGATCGTGTCTAAGGGTCATTATATTCTTTTATAGGTCGATACTTTGTTATTGACTAAGTAAATTTGACTAATACTGTTTGTTATATTTTTTTCCCTGGGCAGAAGAAACAGCTCTCATGGACCTGCTTAGTTTTATGTATAGCAACACCCTATCAACAACCATACCTACGGCCTTGCTAGACGTGTTGATGGCTGCTGATAAATTCGAGGTTGCGTCATGCATGAGATATTGTAGTCGATTGTTGCGGAACCTGCCTATGACCTGCGAATCTGCCTTACTGTATTTGGACCTACCTTCTAGTGTTTTACTGGCAGAAGCTGTTCAGCCACTGACAGATGCAGCAAAGCAGTTTCTTGCCGACAGATACAAGGATGTGACTAAGTGAGCACCACTATTATCCAGAATATTAATCCAGTTTTTATATTTTGAGTAATTTCTTATAGTAACAGCAAGGGTTTTCTTTTATTACTTATTCATGAATGTGCAGCATCCTTATGATATTTATTTGGTTTTGTTATTTAGTTTTTCCTCCTCCAAAATAGTGGGCATTCTTCTTTAAAATGTTAGTGGATGGATATATATTGCATGATTTGCTATCTTCTTAAGGAGAAAGGATGGGGCAAGAATGCAGTCTTTTATAGCATGTGTATATTTAGCTGAGTAAAGTTCAATAACTTTGATATGGATGTTGGCTGTTTGAAGTGCAAAATTTGTACTATTAGTTTCAATGTCTCCTTAACTGTTTTTTTGTTTTGTCTATTTTTTAGTTATTTCCTCAATCATGGATTCACTTGCTGTTTTCTTGTCAGGTTCCAGGAGGAGGTGCTCAACTTGCCTCTTGCAGGTATAGAGGCAGTATTTTCCAGTGATGATCTCCAGGTAGCTTCAGAGGATGCTGTTTATGACTTTGTGCTGAAGTGGGCTCGGACTCATCACCCAAAACTGGAGGAACGACGTGATGTTCTTGCTACACGCCTTGGTCGCCTAATTCGTTTTCCATATATGACCTGCAGAAAGCTGAAAAAGGTTTTAACCTGCAATGACTTTGATCCAGAACTGGCATCCAAGGTTGTGCTTGAGGCTCTCTTTTTCAAGGCTGAGACGCCATATCGACAACGTGCTCTTGCCGCAGAGGAAGGGAATGCCCCTTATCGTCGCTTTGTGGAGCGTGCCTACAAGTACCGTCCAGTCAAGGTTGTCGAGTTTGAAATGCCTCGGCAGCAGTGCGTTGTGTACCTGGACCTGAAGCGTGAGGAGTGTGCGCATCTGTTTCCAGCTGGTAGGGTTTATTCACAGGCGTTTCACCTAGGCGGGCAAGGATTTTTCTTGTCTGCTCATTGCAACATGGACCAGCAAAGCTCATTTCACTGCTTTGGGCTGTTTTTGGGAATGCAGGAGAAGGGATCTGTTACTTTTGCTGTTGACTATGAGTTTGCAGCAAGGTCAAAGCCAGCTGAGGATTATGTAAGTAAGTATAAAGGGAACTACACTTTCACAGGAGGAAAGGCTGTTGGCTACCGTAACCTGTTTGGTATACCATGGACAGCATTCATGGCCGATGACAGCATTTATTTTATAAATGGTATCTTGCATCTCAGGGCTGAACTCACCATTAGACAGTGAGTTTATGGTAGCTGGTTTTTTATAGCGTTCCATGTGCCTAGATCAGTTTTACTGATTCCAATCCTTTTGCTTCTTGCTGATAGTAAAATCTATGTAAATTCCCTATGAATCATCTCAAAATTTTGAATGATTTTATCTTATTTTATGTTTTATGTATAATATTATTATCAAGTGCTTATATGCAAATACTACATGTCAATCCTTTTGCTCCCCCTCGGCACTTGGATTCTGCTTCAAGTGCGGGGAGGGGAGTCAGATGAGATGCTTTCCCGACCGTTTTAACTTAGCAAGATGCCATTCATAACTTATCTTTTTCACTGTCGGGCATAGTTTCAAACTCTAAATTATACTGCAAAAAGGGCAAACGTTTCTATGATAAAGGTGTCAACCTCACTCACTCTTTGGGCATCTCATCAACAGATTTGCTAACGCCGGTGAAAAGGGTAACACGACAACAAATTTGCACTAACAACCATCATGAGGCGAAACATTTCGTCCCACTGCAATGCCCATCGTTTTCATTCTAACTTCAAGCCTGTTCCCATGAACTAGGCTCCACAACTGACTTCAAATTTCTGACACAAAACTTTGCTAATTTGGCCTTGGGTTTCTTTCGCATGGTTATGACTGATTAATGACACTCAAAGCATGTTTCTTAAATATCAATCAAAGTGCTCAATCTGTCATGTGATGTGTTAGATAGCATCCATGTGAGAAAAGGAGAGCTATCAGCGCATGCTTTGTGCACAAAATACTAATGTTGTTCCCCGCAATCGACGGGCTAAGACCCTCTCTCTGTCTCTCTCTCTCTGTGTCTCTCTGTCTTCCTTCAACACCGAATTGACCTTAATGATTAATGGGGACTTGAATTGAATGTAGGTACCAGACCCATATTCGATTAAGTCAACACGTCAATATTAGACGTGCGCGACGCTCTCGACTGAATGGTTGGGGATTAAAATAATCATTGCCTTTGCAAATTTTCTTTAACGGGCTTGGTAGGTTAATTAAAGATGCAAAACTTTGTTGGAAGCAAATGACTTGTTAGTCCTTTCCCTTTGGGACCCCTTTAAGAGCATGCTTTATCACTTTGTAGAAAAGCATCATCATTCAACAATGCCTTTAAATCTATTTTCTTTAATAGTAATAGCATAAATCCTTCTTCATAATCCTCACCTGCATTTCTCTTATATTCCACTTGCTATCTGTTCATGTTGAAAAGATGAGAGAAGGCCTTTAGGCACTATGCATTATTACCAGGAATCCAGCATGAGTTTGACAGTCCTCTGGTTGGTTTTAAGCTTGTATTTCTCTTCATCTGTCCATAGCTTAGACAACTTTTCCAATGGTTCCCTGGATATGTTTCTTCAGGATTTTGCTTTCAGAGCACTGGTTCGACACAGGCCTCACACTGGGGCTCTATACAAAGCTAGTCTTCCTGCTAATCTCTCAGGTATGGAAGTTTCTATTGCTCGCATCAGAAGCCGGACATTGTGGAAAAAAGGCGCTACTCTAAGCAGCTTTCACATCCCATCCAGGACCGTCCCAGTTCCTCATGTGAGAAGACTGGCAATAGTTTATCAGAACCTCGGCAACTGGTCTTCTCACTACTACAATGTTTCAGGTTACTCATTGATCACTTCTGTTGTTGGTTTCATGGTTTTTGATGCATCAAATACTAGAGCAAAAAGCCTAAGAAATATCAGCCTTGATACAATGGGGAAGCCTATATCAATTCATTTCTCCAACCTGAAATTCCCTGATGGGATGGAATCAACTGCAGCAAGATGTGTAGCTTTCAGCACTAATGGGACAATTCAGTTCAGTGACATGATGTTGCCCAATGTATGTTATACCTCAGATGAGGGCCATTTCTCAGTTGTTGTTCGACTGAAAAGGAAGCACAGGCCATGGTATCCATGGCTAATAGGGGTTGTGCTTGGGTCTTCTGGTTTGATTTTCACTGCTTACTTCGTGTTGGTATTTATCAGACTTTTGAAGACAAAAAGGATTCAAGCAATGGAAAGACAAGCTGATGAAGGTGTAATTTTTGATAGCAGATGGGTCGGTAGCAGTAAAATGCCTTCTGCAACAGTAACTAGAACTCAACCAGTCCTAGAGAATGGAGGTTTTCCATAGAACTCTTATATTTTACTTTATTTTGTGTATATCTTCTTTGTATTTTGGCCTCTGGGAAGTATGTGGTGCAGCATAACTAAATTGTTTTATTACATAAAACTAAATCAGAATACACACTTGATTTTCTCTTTTCCAAACTGATAGCTTGTTTCTATTTTAATTTTGCTTGATGAAAAGGAGCTTTTCACTTATAATTCCCTGTCCCCTCTTACCAACTTTAAATCTTTGCATTGGTGAGAATGACGATCTTTATCATGGACTGGTCCCAAGTGTTTTAATTTACCTTCCGCAAAACCTTCAGCTACTGAGCTCAACGCATCGTATCAATCAATTTCACTTGCAGCTTCCATTATAATAGTTTGACTCCCCACCGTGATGACAAGATAAACCTAGTGAAATAGATTTTCCTTTTTCCGTTTTTCCTTGACTTTTCCCATGGGTTGGGCCGCTTTTAACTGGAGGTTAAGCACCAAGTCTTGGGACCAGCCTCGTATGTTTGATCATTGAGGTCCTCACGACAAGCAAATAAGTGTAGAATCAATCTCCGAAGATCCTAAGAAGATATTGGGACTTGTCTTTTACGTTTGATCAATGAGGTTCTCATGACAAATGAGGAAGTGCCGAGTCAATCTATTAGGTCCTAACGTCATCATATCCAGGTTCAATGGGTTCGCGCAGTCACTACGGGTCGTGCGTCAGGCAACGAGTCCTGGGACCAGTTTCCTATGTCTTATGGTGAGGTTCATTGACATATGAGGAAACTGTCTGATAGATCCCAACACTAAATTCTGACCATGTGGAGGATGGTGCCGCTGTCAAAGTCCAGTGCTTATAACTAAGAGAAATCGGTGAAAAAAGGAAAAAAATTTACAATGTGATTTCACATTTTACCACCTGTGAGTATAACTAAAGGAGGTGCACCTTGTAGCTTTGGCTATAACATATGAAATGTCCGTACATACACATAAGAAAGCAAATTATAACAAGGGCAATTCCTCTCTTATAAGCAGAGGGCAGTTTTCAAGTACCTAAGGTGAAAGCTACGGGGCATTTAACATGAAAACAAAGTTATCATCAAACCAGAAACATGAGAAGGCAAAAGCTTGTATGTGTTTCCTTGTTCATTTTGATCGATTGAAAAAGAAGTTGAGAGACCTTTGTCAAACAAATGCATTTTCAATGAAGTTTTCCTCGTTCTTTTTTACATTGCAGAAGATCTACCAGATAAAGCTTCTCAGAAACCAGTTCAGAGTTCATTTTATAAGATAACAAAATGAAACAGGTACCTAAATAGTTCTACCACAGACTCTTTTGCAAACAGAAATTGAGTGCATTTTTTGGAGTGTGCACCTTATGAGAACTCCATAGTGGCCATATTCAGGCAAAAGAGATCCAGGCAACGAACACAACAGGTTCTTGCCCCATTCTATTTGCATCTAGTTCAAAAGGTTCTTGCCCCATTCTATTTGCAGCTGATTCAAGAGCCACTGGTGGGATCCCATTACCAGTTTATCCCATCTAATTCACAGGAAAGATGCAAATAACAATAGTTAACATTTTGAACCAAAAAAGAGAAAGGTAGCAATTAAAACTACTATTAGCTGTGGTCCTGTGAACACCACAAATTCTTGATAACTAAATGACTAGGATTAGGAATATTGCTCCAAGCAAAAAATGCAACAAAAATAGTTTCTAGCCCCATCTATTTGAGCAATGAGTCATAATCCATTCAAGCATCAAAAGTAAAAGAGCATTAAAATGTCAGATATAAGTAAAAGCCATATGTTAGTAGTCGTGAGAGGTGCTACAATAAACTACAATATCTCTTCATCCAGAATAATTGAGAAGACATGGCAGTGTTACTGACCCCTTTCCAGTTGCAAACTTCAATCTTTTTACCTTACATTGAAGAAGCTACGTAACTTTTCCAATCATATTTACCAAAATGTTTAAGTCCAACTCTTGTATATCATATCATCCTTTCTTATTTAAACGTATAACAGGAAAATATATTGAGAACCAGAAGACAGCTCCATCTAATCTGCCGCAAGTTGCAACATAAATCCATTGAAGAACCGCTCAATTTCTACAACTCAAAGGGCATGCATTTTATTAACCAAAAAAAAAAAAAAGAACTCCAAGACTGAACAATTATGCTATGCGCAGGTAGAATCCTATTTCAACATAGAAATATAACCAATGCTCAATTGAAACAAACAAATAAACCAGAGTATAATAAACTAAACTAGAAAAGCTCAATTGAGTGCACCAACACTGGCAGTACTCTGGCGGGCAAGCTTTGTCCACTCCGTATGAAATGCCCCTGGACGATCAGTCCTCTCATAGGTATGCGCCCCAAACAAGTCCCTCTGTGCCTGCACAAGGTTGGCTGGGAGCCTTGCACGCCTATAGGTATCAAAATAGGCAAGACTTGCGCACATTCCAGGAGTGCTAATCCCAGCGGAGATAGCCAGCCCCACAACTCCCGCCAAGCTGCCTGCCTCTGAACCATCTCCCTAGCAAACTCAGGGTCCACAACCAAGCTAGCCAAATTGGGATTCCTCTGGTAAGCCTTCTTGACCTATCCAAAAACACAGCCCTTATAATACATCCACCTTTCCAAATCCTAGCCAACTCTCCCAAATTCAAATTCCACCCTTTTTCCACACTCTTAGCTCTTAACAAATTCATCCCTTGGGCATAACTGCATATCTTTGAAGCGTACAAGGCTTGCCTAACATCATCAATCAATCTTTTCTTATCAATCCCCTGTGCTAAACTTCCAACTTCCTCTTTCAATCCGGCTTCTTTCAAAACCCCAGCTGCATTCTCCCTCTCCTCCTTTAATCCACTCAAATACCTACAATCCAATGAAGCAGCGATAGTAGGAGCAGCAACAGATAACTCAGCAGCTTGCTGCACAGTCCATTTCCCAGTCCCTTTCATCCCAGTCTTATCCAAAATCTTATCCACCAAATACCCATCTTCCAACTCATCCTTAACTCTAAATATATCAGATGTTATCTCAATTAAGAAACTTTCAAGCTCTCCCCTATTCCATTCCGCAAAAATCTCCGCCAATTCATCATTCGAAAGCCCCCCAACATGTTTAAGAACATCATAAGCTTCAGAAATTAACTGCATATCACCGTATTCGATTCCATTATGAACCATTTTAACGAAATTACCTGATCCTCCTCCGCCAATGTAAGTGACGCAAGGTCCATCTTCGACTTGGGCCGCCACCTTTTCCAGTATGTCTTTGATATTCGAATAGGCTTGATGAGATCCACCGGGCATCAACGATGGGCCATTACGTGCCCCTTCTTCGCCACAGAAACGCCCATACCGAGATAAAGAAGATCCTTATTGGAAACTTCTTGGATTCTTCTCTCAGTGTTTTCATACCACTCGTTACCACCGTCGATGATGCAGTCGCCAGGTTCCATGTGGTCAGACAAAGCGGCGATGGTTTGATCGACCGGTGAACCGGCTTTGACTAATATGACAACAGATCTGGGCCGTTGGATTGAGAGGACGAATTCGCGAGGGGAGTAGTGGCCGAAGAGTGGAAGCTGGCCTTCCTCCTGGGCTCGCTGGACAGTTTCCTCGACTTTGGAGGTGGTGCGGTTGTAGACGGAGATTGGGAAGCCTTTTTCGGCGACGTTTAGGGCCAGATTTTGGCCCATGACGGCTAGGCCAGCTAGGCCTATGCGTGAGAGAGCTGGGGAGACTTCCATTTTTTGGGCGGGAAAGACGACGGCAATGAAAGGAACGGAAATGGGGGTTAGATGTAGAGAGGAAGGAAATGGGGGTTTGGTGAAAGATATTTTCCTTTTATTTTTAAAGGGAGGAGAAAGCCGGGAGTTTGGCCTTTTGAAGAAAGGAAGGATTTTTGCGAGAGTGACGGACTCGTCGAGGGAGTGAAAGGGCAGTGGCTCAACCAACGAGGAGTGAGACGATCAGCTCGAGGATTTTGGCTGGGTGGTCGCCTTAAACGACGCCGTTTTACTCACACAAATCCAAGTGATATTGAACTACTTGCCTTAAAATTAGTCAAATTTGGGGGTCTCAACTGTCAACTATCCCAATGCCGTCTTTCCTTTGGCCTTTTTAATGATTGGAGTACCCATTTCCTAGGGGTTGCAGCATGGGTTCGCGGCCCAAAGCCCACCTGGGAAACTTGTGCCATATCAATGGCCTTCGAAACGATAAACTGCTAATTATCTCTCTTAAAAAGTGTTAAAACTGATTAAGACTGAACTCATTTCAAGTTACTTCAAATTGTACTCCATTATCATAAGGACGAGCCCTTTAAGAAAATTGACCACTCAAATTACAAGTTTTCCACCAGGCAGAGCATGTGTAGAAACGCTTTACTACCAATCATCTGGACTTGTACCATTGTTAGCAGAACGTGACCAATATTCCCGGACTAGCTGTCCAAACAACGATCCCTTCTTATTCATCAGCTTCCTTGGCTCATCGTACTCTACCAATTTCCCTGTCAATTGAAACAGATTGTGTTGATTTGTATAAAGATTGTTAGGATGGGAATGACAGCAGTCCCTTAGTTTGGAGGACACAAATTGACTCACCGTCACTAATACCGACCACCATATTGCAGTTCATCACGGTTGGTATTCTGTGAGCCACGGTTATCACGGTGCAGTGTTCAAATTCTGTTCTTATAGTTTTCTGGATAATAGAGTCGGTCGCATTGTCGATTGATGCAGTGGCTTCATCAAGCACCAGTATCCTGTTCCTCTTCAGCAATGCACGCCCCAGACAGAATAATTGCCGCTGGCCCACGCTCCAGTTTGATCCATCTTGTACAACTGCACTTCATGTTGTTAGTAGAAGCAAATACAAATCTTCAAAGCAGAAAAGCAACTACGAAATCTTTGTTTCTTACCAAAGGAGTTCAGGCCGCCCTCTTTCCCTTGAACTGCCTCTCGGAGTTTACACTTTTCAAGAACCTTAACATCCAAAAGAAAGAACAGGTTAGGAGTATAACATGATACATTGTGGTGATATATAAGCAGGTCTTAGTAAAAACTTACTTCCCATATTTCATTATCAGTATGCTGTTCTAAGGGGTCTAGATTGTATCTGACGGCACCACCAAAAAGCGTAGGATCTTGAGGGATGATCCCCAAATGTGATCTCAGATCATGGAGCCCAATTGTACAAATGTTAAGGTTATCGATGATGATTTCTCCATCTGTAGGCTCTATCAGGCGGAACAAAGTGCTGATAAGGGTTGTCTTTCCACTACCAGTCCGGCCAACGATCCCAATTTTACTTCCTCCTTCGAATATGCAGCTGATGCCATGAAGAACTAGTGGAGCACTAGGACGATATCTAACCTGCTTGAAGAATTTGATGTTACAGACATTCTCTGTAAAAACCATAACTCAAGAAGATAGAGAAACATCTGTTATACCTTCAAATTGTAAATCTCCACTGTGCCAACAGAAGGCCAGTTGTGTGGAGGTCGGTTGGCTTCAATTACGTCTGGAGCTTCACTAGGAATATGCATGTATTGCTCTAGCCTTTCTACAGAAATAACTGAACTTGATAGCAAACATTGATATTTTACAGAAAAAACAAGGAATACATTTAATGAGAGGCCATATGCCAGTGCCATTCCAATTAACCCTGCCATTGAAATCCATAATCAACATTTTGTCAGAGAATAATCCAAGAGATGAGCAGATATTCACTCTTATTTCCTCAAATTGTGGAATGGAAATTTTGAAATGAATTGGTTATATTACTGAGTCGTTTAGGGAGTTAACTCTTAAGCTTAGGTCATGAGCATAATGCTTGAACTAACCAGATGCAGAAGCTCCAAGAGGAATTAAGGTCATGGCAAGGGCTGAGGATGAAAGAACAATTGCGCACAGTATTTCCAAACACTGGATCAACCATTCGTTTGCAGCAAAAGTATGAAAGTTTGTACTTGCATTGGCATCAATCAGGTTCATATTTTTTAAAAAGAATCGGTCTCCATCCCCAAAAGCTCTGATTGTCATGGCTCCGGCAATGGATTCAGAAAGGTGGCTGGCAACTGAAGACTTCGTTGTGCCATTGATTCGCATCAATTCCTTTGCAGAAGCATAGTAGTGTCTCTAATTGTTTCGAGAACATGTAAAAAAGCACAATGATGAGAAGCCAGAGAAGTTATGGAAAACATATTAAGATTTGGAAGGAGGTAAATCTCGGTTCTGCGCACATATGCAATACCTGCAACAGTATAGTCAGATAAACCATGGGAATGATGACAAATGCAACTGGCCAGGCGAGAATTGCCAAAATAAAAAGGCTAAAGTAGGTATTCATCGTTGCTCCAAGTGTAATTGATAACTTGAAAGCCATTTCAAGGTCGATGATGCTTAAATCAGAAGACACCTGTTATATTAAAATAGAAAGTTTGAACTGTAAGTTCAGTAAGACTTTGTCCAAACTGCAAAGCATGGAATGAAAATTGAAGCTGCGCTTTCGAGAATACTTACCCTACTTAGTATCCTTCCCAAAGGTGTTGAGTCGTAAAAGGACATTGGTGCTCGGAAAAGAGATTTTAGCAGTGTAGAAAAAATAGATTCTGATGCTCCACAACCAAGAAGAACTACATAAAAGGATCTCACGAGCAAAAAGATTGCTAAGGCACCGCCGATCACTGAGAAAACTGTAAGTAACTTCATCCTGCTTACTTGAGAATTTTGGATGTAAGCTGCTAACCAATAGTATTGTATTAACTGCCCAACTATGAATATCACGTGGAATAAAATTGCCAAGGTGAAATATAGAAAGCCCTTGTTGTGTCTCAAATACTGCATGTAAGGCTTGAAACCTGTATCTCCTGTTTCTCTTTCTTCTTCCTTAATTAATTGCTCTCCGGCAGGTCCTACTGGCTGTCCCTTAACATGAACTTTCTGGATCACATCTTTGGATGTCATAGCTCTCCCGCTATCAGAATACGAGATGTGATCCATTTCAGACTTAATTGTGTTACCGTGTGCATTCACAAGGTCGTGGAATCTTTGACTTGAAGCCAGCAGCTGATCATATGTAGCAGCCTCTATAATTTCTCCAGCAAACATCAACTGTCATGAAAATAAGATTTGTATCAACGGCTACTTTGATGATGTTAAATAAGTGTAGAAGCCAGATGGGAAGCAGTTTCCAATTTGGAGGTTGAGAAAGGATGATAACGTAAGTACATAACTGCAATACCAGTAGCTAGCTTACCAAGATAGAATCAAAAGCTGGGAGGAAGTCGACCTGGTGGGACACAAGCAAGACCGTTTTACCTGACAAAGCTCTGATGACATAGTCCTGCCAGAAAAGGGACGTTAGTTTAAAGTGAATATAACCAATCAATGGTGGAAGAGATTGAAAAGACAAAAGGTTATATTCACGTTAAAAAGGCTTGTTGCAGTTTGTGCATCTACAGCACTGAATGGATCATCCAGCAGATAGATATCTGCATCCTGATACAATGCACGTGCCAGTTGAACTCTCTGCTTCTGTCCACCACTCAGATTAACACCTCTTTCTCCAATTTCAGTGAGGTCCCCAAAAGGAAGCATCTGCAGATCTTTTACCAGGCAACACTTCTCGAGCACTTCTTCATATCTGACCGGATCCATCGCAGCGCCAAAAAGAATATTTTCTTGGATACTTCCTGTTTGTATCCATGCTGCCTGTGAAACATATGCTATCTTCCCATTCACATGAACCTGATGCACACAAAAATTTAAGTAACACATCTCCAGTACTGACATGAAACTATTAGGCGTTGCCAGCAGTTGACACTTTCTTTTTTCATATCTCTTGAATGTTCAGCAATTAACTGGGCTTATCATTCACCAAAACAAATTATACAGCAAGTCGCCTTTCTCAGCTTAAAGCTTAATATCTAAACTAGCAAGTCGCCTTTCTCATAGCCTTATTTATGAACCAGAGGAAAAAAGAACTGAAATAATATTAGATCAAGACCTTTCTTGAAAATTTGTAAACATTCTTTTATCATTAAAAAAAATGCTATATTGTGGTAATAAAGTTAGCATAATATCCAAAAAAACACTTAAATTATTATGAAAAATTTAAATAAATCTTATATTTTTATTCCATTTAATCAAGTCTTTATATTGTTATTTTGAGTCAAATAAGTTTTTTCACTTTTATTTTGAATTAAATAAATTCTTACCACTAGTGATTGACAAATAATATTTTAACTCATGACAATTAGTCAATTATTAATTATAAATAAATATTTGATTTAAAATAAAAATATAAAAATTTGATTGGATATAATAATCAATAAAAAATTATTTAAATTTTTTAAAATATTTAAAAGACTCATTTAAATGTCATGCCTTTATATTAATCAGTGCACTTACGGTGCCATCGACTTTCGGAACTTCTCCAAGAACAGCAGCTAAAAGAGTTGATTTTCCTGAGCCAACCTCTCCACAAACAGCAATCTTTTCTCCTGGTTTAACCGCCAGATTTATGTCTCTTAATGTAGGTTTGGAGGAAGACTGAAGGTCCCAAGAAATTTCATTAGACCTGATGAAAATAGAGTGGTCAAACTTTTCCTCATTAGATTCCTGCTGTAGCTCTCTGTTTGCCAACTCTGGTGCCTCAAGAAATTTCACAATCCGGTCTAGGGAAACCTTTGCTTCAATGAACACTTGGACAACATCAGGGATTAACCTAACTGGCTCCTGAACAATGCGAATGCTTGCTAAAAATGTGAAAATGTTACTGGCATTGAGTGGAATCCCTAGCAAGTAGCAGGTCCAGAAAGTAACAGTAGGCACTATAATTGGGGAAGACCAAAACCACACTAGATGGTACCCTCTTTGTGACAGGATTCCTGATATCCATTTGAATTCATCTTTTCTTAGCCTTTCAACAACACTCTTGAAATGTGTCTCCCAAG